GTGGCTGCCCCTGGATCCCTGGAAGTGCCCAAGGCCTGGCTGGATGGGGCTTGGAACAACCTGAGACAGTGCAAGGTGTCTCTGCCCATGGCAGGGGGTGGAACAAGGTTGTTATTAAGGTCCCTCCCAACACAAACCATTCTGTGGTGTGAGGAGCAGGAAGGGCTTTGAGCTGTGTAAGCACTGCTCAGCAGTAATGGGAACATCCCTGAGTTATCTGTGCCTGGAACTTTGTGTTCTCAGCACAAATCCCAGGGACAGCCCCATCCTAGCCACTGTGCAGAAAATTAACTCCATCCCAGCCAAGCACTGTGAGCTGTCCAATGGACCTGGACAGGGCAGGACTTGGAGCTTACTGGGACTCCAGAGCTGCAGTGGGATAGTTCCCTGTCACCTTGGAAAGGTCATGGCATTCAGGAGAGCTTCCTGATGGCTGCAGAAAGGCAAATACTGGATCCATTTTCAAAGACTGCCAGGAGGAGGATCTGGGAACAGCAGCTTTACCTTAATTCCTGGGTAAATTACACAGCAAAACCTCCTGGAAACCACTTTTGAGGCTTCTTTTCCATTCCTTGAAGGGGCACAAAGGTAATTTGGAGCAGCCAGCATGGACTCCCAAGGGCAAAAGGTGCTTGATTGCCTTTTGGGAAAGCTGGCAGGGCCTGTGCTGTGTGTGGTGGCTTCGGGGAGACCTTTGACACAGTCCTGTAGCACCTTCAGAGCCACACTGGGGACACATGGACTGATAGCTGGGTGGAAAGTTGGCTGGGCTCCCCAAATCTGAGTGGTGGGGAGCAGTGCCAGGTGCAGCTGGGAGCTGGGAATCCCTCAGAGCTCGGTGGGTGAGTGCTGCTCCATGGCTCCAGTCACAGCCTGGATGGTGGCATGGGGCTTGTGGCAACTTGAAGGAGAAGTTAAACTGGGGGAGAACATTGACCAGGGACTGGCAGGAACCTCTGGAAGGTCAGCAAAAGCAAATGCCAAACTCAGGGGCATTCCAGCCTTGAGCAGCCGGCCAGGCTGGGACTCCAGGCTGGAATTTCAATGCCATCCTGGGCAGAAACACTTCCCTGCATGTCTTCACCATTAAAGAGATTGGTCAGGAGTGATTTGTGGACAGTAATTCCTAAATTTCATCTTTATCCTGCCAGCAGTAATGCAATATGCTTATTTATTCCCAGTGCCCCACTAAAAATCATTCTAAACCATTTCAAGTCTGGGATGGTTTAAAAAGAAGACAAGAAAGAATAAATACAAAGAAAATCAACAATATTTGGGGTTGATTAAAGCTGATGGACTGATTTTTGTCACTGAGACAAAACCAGCTGCTCCCCTTTTTCTTTTATTTTCTTTTTTTATATTGAGAGCTGTCTGTTTTCATGTTTTTAATGGAAAATTTTGGAGTAAGTGTATACTAAAAAAAAAAATCGGGATAGTATTACTTTGGACATGATTGCACACTGAGTGTGTGTGCTCCCAGTGTACATTATAAGCACAAGTTGTAAAGTCATATTTTTCCACTGCTCTGTGTTCTAGCTGTCAGGAATTATCCTTGATCTACTTTCTGGGAAGCTGGAAATTTTTGGGTATTTCAAAATTCACTGATTCATCTTCTCAAGTGGTGTTGGATTGAGTCAGTTTTAACCCAGCTGCAATGTGCTCTGCAATTCTTAGGGAGATTTACTTTGAGAATTTTTGATGGGGTAAATTAATTTCAGGTCAAGGTCAGTCAAAAGGTGTGTTTCTTTAGCCTAATGTTTTTGGGTCTTTTGGGTGTGATATTAGTTTATCTGTTTTTTGAGGCTTTGTATTAATTGTAAGGATTTTAAAATTTCATTAAAATTTTCAAACAATTAGTCTGAATTTTCATAGCCAAAAAACCTACAAACACAAGCTGCTGGTGTCCGGTGAGCTGTATGAATTTTCCAGTTAATACCTTGGGTTTTTCATTATTATCATCATCTTGCATGAGAAATTGTTCCAAATGGGATTCAGGCCTTGCCTGGTTCATTGTTCAGTTTCTCAGCCTTTGAATAGAAATACATTCACAGGTCCAAATTTAAACTCTTCTTTTATTCAAGAGCCCTGAACGTGAAGTGTGTGTTTACGTTTTTGCATAGCTCTGCATGGAATTAAATTTTTATACAGTGACTAATTCACTTGCTGGTTTTCAGGGTGTCACTGGGTTTAACTTTCTGCTGTGCAAGCTGTGTCTTTGATCTTCAGATTTGTACAACTGCACAATATTGGCAGATGGAACATTGTCTTACAAAACACTAATGTGTATTTTAATGTTCTTATATTGATTTTTCATGAAGGTGTGAGCTTTACACATTTCCAGCCCAAGTGGACATCCATGAAATAATTAAACCCATCTGTTTCTCCTGTTTCCCTGTAGGAAAACTTAATGAAATATGATTCTCCACTGACCTGACTCCTTAATTCACATTGTTATGCTCTTCTACAATGGGAATATAAAAAGATACCTCAATATTTCATAGCATCTGTTACCTTTAATGGATATGAGTGATGGAAATACATGCCAGTGGTTGAAATTTGGGGTTGAGAATTTGCAATGAGGGCTCAACACTAGGAAAAGTGTCATTAGCGAAGCGGGGATAGCAGGAAGAGAAGTTTTTTTTCCTGCTTTCTTAGAATTCCCTGGTCTCACAGAGCCTGAGCAAGAATGGGAAGGGAATAAATGTATTTCATTAATGTTGACAGGATAAACAAGATACTTAGGAATTACTGTCCACAAACTAAAATGCCTTTTTGGGGAGTGCAATTCTGATGTTTCCTGCACTTAGTTAATGGTTACTTTAAGAAAAAGGTGTAAAGGTAAGTGTTAATGCTCCCTAGTTTAAAAAACCACGAAATAATGTTCCTGCTTTCTTGCAGACTCACTAACTCATGTTGTAAAAAGTTACCAGTAGTTAGAGAACATTTTATTACTTCATGGAAACAAATGTTTCCTTATATGGATAGATTTGGAAGTCCGTCCTGAAGGACAATAAGGTTAAGACAATCCCAGCTTTGCACATAAAATCTGGATACACGTGTCAAAGTTTTCACACCGCCCAAGTTAAGAAACTATGATGCATTTATTAGTCAGAATTCTCTTTTCCTCTGCTCAAAATAATTTTCTCCTGGGAAATGTGTTGACTTCAGTCTCCCCTTTCATCATGTTTTGTAATCCATTCATAGCTGTCATAGAAGGGTTGCTGTATGAGCTGTCCCAAGGTTCAGAGCAGCTTTGTGTTGGTCCAGGGGAGGGAAGCACAGTCCCAAAGCCACAGGGAGCACCAAGGAATGCAGACAACTGATCCCAACAGCCTTTCCATGCTTAACCTTCTTCTTCATCCAGCAAAACAAATTTAAATATTGGATACAGCATCTTGCCAGTTATTTCCCCATTTAAAATACAGAACAATATCTAAAACTGAAATATTTCTCATAAGGAGGTGCTGCTGTACAATCCATTCCTGCCAGAGTTTGTGGTTCATCCAGTTCCAAGATTTCAGTTGGGATTGGGAGTCAGTTTGATTCCCATGTTATTTTGTAATCCTACACAAGGGCTGGTTGAATGTTTTCGTTTTTCCTCTCTGGTGCAAAACTTGTAATGTAGAAAGTTTTTGGGGATATCTGGAGCTTCCTGCTTGTCACAGTTATTGTTTTGCAATTAATTTAAGAGGAATTTGGTTTGAATGGGGTGGGGAAAAAGCTCAGGTGAAATACACAACTTCATATCCAGGTTTGGTGTAACTCAGCCCTGATTCTATGTTTTGAAATGCAGTTAGCTGAGAATTGGAAAATAACTTTGTTTACCTAAGGTATTCCCAGATTTCAGTTCCAAAGACTGGCACTTGTTTTCTTCTACCTCTTCAATATTGATAACACATTTTGGTTATTCCTTGGAGTTATTTGTGTAGTTCTTTGTACTTCAGATAGAAAAGTGAGCCTTTTCAGAGGAATGTTGTGGTTTCTAGGTGTTTGTTAAACTGATTGGGATATTGGATTTTGGAACAGGAGATGCTAAAAGAAATTGGGTTATAATACTAGCTGGAATACTTGGAATGCTTTACAAAGGAAATTCATTCACAGGCATCTCAACTGACTTCACTTGTTCCTATCAAGGTGTTTCATATGGGAATCACACAGCCCTTGGAACCCACCTGGGCTACACAAGGGGGATTTGGGAAGTTTAACTGTTGGAGCTGGAATATGGCCAGATCTCTTGGGCAGTCATTGGTCTGGGAAGAATTTTAAGCAATCATGATGCATTTAAACTTTTACATCCTGTTAGGGAAGCTGAGCCTGTAGCATGTGGATGGATACTCTTCATGGATGAAATGGAGTAGGCAGGAATAAAAGGAGCCTGTCCAGACTCCTTTTTATTGAGTTAACTTAATTAGAGGATGTTCCTGAGGTGTAGTTTTGTTTTTTTTTTTTATTGGCATGTCACCAGAGTTATTGTGTAACTAATTTAAATATAATTAGATTTTTTTTGTGCTTATGGTGTAGCCTTAAGCTGAGTAGTTTGTGGTATAGCTTAAAGAAAACAACTCTGATCAAAATAAGTCTGAAGAAAATTAAGTAAGTCTGTCTAGATACATAAAGTCAAACGCTGTTCTGTGCTCCCAAATAGTCCTCCCTTGGCTGTACCACTGGAAAGCTGACGAGCTTTCATTAAGAAAATGCTATTTATGCCTGGGAACTGAGTAGTCCTGGGAACTGAGTCTGCCCAATAAAACTTGGAAATTCAGCCATCACACATGTGAAGTCCATACACAATCGTTGCTGGGCTACTGATGTGCACTTGTCAAACCATTTCCCTTTTTTGTTGCTGTTTCACTCTGCAGACTGTCCAGCAGAAGCTCCTTTTAAAGTAAATTATTGAATTTGTAGAGTTTTGCTCTCTGTTTTAATGGATTTTGACTAAATTATTAAATTTGGAGTGTTTTGCCTAATGTTCTAACTGAATTTCTTTGCTTTTCTTTCAGAGCATTCAGTCAGAAAAGAGCTGCAATTGAGAAAGAATATGCACAGGTAGGTTCTGGAATAATTTTGATAGCTGAGACATTGTTCTGTTGGGATGATTTGTTAATCAGCAAATTACTATGGTGTATCTTTTTATCATTGATCTTTTCCATAAGTTACTTTCCATGAAATGTGTTGAAGTTCTGAATCAGTTTAATTTATACAGGACTTAGGCCCATTCTGTATTTTCATGTAATTTGACTTGAGGAAGTTCTTGAGTACAGAAAACATTTTTAACATTTTTTTCCCAATTGTTGTAAAGTCAAACTCCATGTGGTTTTCTCAGAAGTCAGTGTGAAATTTGAGTGAAAGGTAAAATCAGGTCAATTAGAGGGAGAGGAAATGTTCTGGCTTACTTGATCCAAAATAAATTTAAATTCACATTCTTCAGTAAGAGCAGCTTCCCATTCATCTGAAATAAAAGCGGATTTGGCCTCATGCTTGTGATAGGAGTGGAATGAATTTTGATTTGTTTGTGAGAAAAGAGGGAGGATTGCTTTTTCTCCCCCAGTCCAAAATTAGAAAGCATCTAATAAGGGGCAGCTGCCTGTTTAATTTACAGTAAAGGCTCTTGGAGCTTAAGTCCAAGTACAACAGATTAAAAATACATTAATTTATTTTAAAATAGATTAAAGGTAGAATAAAATCCAAGGGAGTGAGCTCGTGGAGCTCAGTATGCCATAAATCCAACTGGAGATATGCCTGACGTGGAATGTGAGAACACAAGCTGTCACCAGGCTGCTTCCAAGTGCAGTTTGTAGATGTCATGTTAAACATCTTTTCAGTCCCCAGTGCTGCATCACCCCCAAAATACACAGAGCAAACTTGTTCTGGGGCCAGGCTTCACTGTCAGCTGGGAAAAGATGATTCCTGTGCCTGTGATGGATGGGTTTTTAGTGCTGGATTTTCTGCTTGTCTTCTCAGCCTAAAACCCATCTGAAAACCCTTCCTACACCACATGGAATTTGTGCTGAATTAAGCCCACTCACTGACATTATTGCCATAAGTTATTGGTGCTCCCATTCTTCCTCCAGATATGGTTTACCTTGGCAAGTATCAATTCCATTGGCAGTTGTATTAAATTTGATTAAATACCTGAATTTTTCAATGATGGTGCCTCCTGAAACTGAGGTTAAAAATGTGTGTTCTTGAGTGATTTTTTAAAATGATGTAGAAAATTTAACACCAGTTCTTAACACATTTATCCATTAGACACTGGGAATGTCTTTTATATGCAGAGACACAACAGTCACTGCATTTAGGGAATAGTCCTGATAAGTTGGAAAAATAATTACACTGCGCTTCAGAAAGCTCCGACCTAACAACTGAGGCTTTCAGCTCCTTGGATTTAAACCCCCCCAGCTTTGCAGCAATGCAGCTGCAGCATTTGAGATTCACTGAATAGCTCTTTCTATGAATGAAGTCTTGTGGGATTGCTTCCTTGGATTGCTGATAAGTGCACAGCTCCAAAACAATGTTGGATGCTTCTTCTAAAAGGATTTCTGTTTTGGAGGTGGTAATAAAATTTCACATAAAGCCTTTTGGGGAGAGAAGTTGTGCTCCAAATAAATGGGAAGTTGCATTCATCAGCAGTGGGATATTCCTTTTAAACCAGTTCTAAAGGGAGCTGGAAATGCTCAGTAGTTTATGAAGCCAGACTTTTAAACCTTTTCACAGATTCTCTCCAAATGCCTCTTGTCACCTTAGGGAATTCGGAATATTCTGACATCTGACTTTTTTTTGCCAAGTGAGAAGCAGTGGAAGGCTGGCCAATGAAAATCAGTTTCCCAGAGCTGAAGGCTTTGTTGGTTTAAAAAAAATTGTAGGTTGGCGCCCTGCACTTGGGTGCCAAGTTTCTAAACACAGAGTGCTTTTGTTGGGAGCAGGAGAACCTGTCCAAAGGCAAGTGAAACACCCCAGCCCAGTGTTTATAACTTGCCCCTAATTACATGGTAAGTGGTGCAAATGTATGTGATGAATTACAGGGCCTGGATTTAAATTTCCCTGCTCTTATTTTGTCCAGGTTATTTTGCGTTGTGTTTTCACCTGTTGCCTTGAAGGTTTTTGGAGCTGTTTTTTGCTTATTGCCCATCTCCAGTGGGTTCTTTCCTGGCTTTTCTAGGCTGTGCCATGGTATAAATGGGAGAAGGATCCAGTGTATCAGCAATTCTGCAGATTTCTAGTGATCAGTTGGGATTCTGCACTCAGCTCTTCTACTTGTATTTTTGGTCCTGCATTATTTAATACATGCTCAGAGGGTTACCTTAATATTCAGAAATGAGAGCTCAGAAAGGTTCTCATTTCCCACTAACAGTATGCCTGCTAATAGCATTTAAATTGCAATTTTATATTGTTATTATTAGCTGTTCTCCATGATTAATAAGCGACCTGAAATCAGTGCCTGAGAATACTCTTATGGTGAAAAAACAGTTTACTGAATGTGTGCTTTTGCTACTACCTCCAAAAAAACCTGTTTTAGCCAGCATGTTTAATAGGTAAAATGTTGGTTTGAGGGTTTTTTTCTGGAGATTATAAATACATTTCTGCTGCAGTTACTATTATTTCACACTTTTAACTCAAGAGACGAGTCTCTCACAGTCTGGGAACACACAGATGACCTTCCTTGTCATGTTTTGGTTTTGCTTGATGTTTCATTATCATTGTTTCAGAGTAAAACGTGACTCCAGGCAATCAGCATGGCCTGGCCCCTTGGAATTTGCAAGTAACCTCAAGGAGGTTGAGTTTCCCTGCATGCTAATGAGTTTCTAATTGTAGTACCTCAACCAAATGCACTGATGTTCTACAAAAAAGGTGGGAGAGCCCATTCCCTGAGCTACATTTCAAGTGAGCCACAAGTAGAAGTGTCTGTTCAGTTATTCTTTTTTAAAGAGGCAGTAATTGTTAGGATTTTTTTCTCCTCTCTGTGTTTTTTATAGGTTAAATTAACAATGAAGAGCTGTGGGTGCTCAGTAGAACCAGCTTATCTGTCATCAGGAGGGGACAGGGCACTCGGTGTTGATTGCTTTGTCTGTGGCACTGAGAAACTTCATGCATTTAAAACATTTTCAAATGTGGAGAAGAGAAAAGAAAATTTAATGTTGTTTATAGCCACAAAGTCCTGTTGGCAGCTGCTCATATCCACGGTAGTGGTCACGAGAGGAGCCTTAAATAAGATGAAATGGATGTGAGAGGGAAAAGCAACTGGAGGTGGAGTGAGAGGAGCAGGATAGGTGGGGAGGTGGATGTAAGCAGACACCATGGTCACCCTTACCCATTTCCCTCGCCCTGTGTCTCACCAGACCTAGAAAACACACTCATTTCAAGACATCAGAATATATGCATTAATAGTTCCTAAAAAATTACAATATTCTTATGGCAGTTTTTGTCTGTATAATGTGTGCATGTGTATACATAATATATAAAGCAGATACTTAATAAATAAACATAACAGGCTTTATTTTCTATCTTTATATATGTATTTTATATATAATTTATTTAAATATTTGCTAGAATGTACTGGTTTTCCTTTGTTTAAAAGCAAAAGAGGAGCTGACCATTTTTTTACCATGTTCTAACAAGGTGCCAAGCTGCTCAGTGGCCTTTTGAACAATTTTTCAGAGGATTAAAATCATAAGGGTTAAAATCAGACATTGTCACCATGTCTAGTAACTTCTACCATGGCTCATTTTTTTTCCTTTGCTGTTCTTTCTCATGTATTCCAATACTTTGTGAACATTAACTTTATCATGTGAAGACTGGAAAGGTGATGGTATTTCCCTCATAAGGAATGAGAGAAATTGAATGAATTTTAGCCAGAATACCACAAATCTCTGATAGAATGGATACCAAACTTTTGAAAATACACTGGTTTATTGGAGTGTTTCAGTGGTGACTGTAGGAGCAGGAGGATGGCAGACACTGCTCAGGAACAGCTGGGAGATTTGGGAATGGTGCTGAGGGGCTCTGTAAATAGAGCCCTGTCAGCATGGAACCCCAGTCACCTGGGTTGATTCCTACATCCCACCAGGCAAAACAGCTGCAGCCTGGAAAACACAGCCTTACAACAGGCTTGGAATACAAAACAAAAATTCCAGGGTGAAGCAAATTCTTTCCTCTGCCTCCAAGCCACGGAACCCCTGGAGCGGCAGGAAAAAATAACTTGAGGTACCTGCCCTGCAAAGGCAGCAAGCAGCTTTCCATGAGATCATTGCCTGCAGCCTGGTCAGAATGGGTTGGATTTTTTAATCCCAAAGGATGCAGGAGGTTGCTGTGGGAGAGCAGGAAGAGATTGTGGATTTTAAGGGTGGGTCCCCGACTTGGGGACAAACAAGGAGCAGCCGTGGGTTGACTGCTCAGGAGCTGTTTTGTTAACAGATGAACTTAAGTTACTTGTTTCTTCCTGTGAGGATGATTTTAGAGTTGCTGCAGTGCTAAACCTCCCTCTAGAGCATTTCTGTATTACTTATGACATTTTTTCTTGGTTTTGTTTTATGGTGAAATTGATGACTTTTGTAGTCAAGCAGCAATTTAAAAAAACCTAGGAAATCAGGTTTTGTGTGTGTATGGAAGATATATTTTTAAGACTTAGGACACTTCATCTTTTAGGGAATTGGGATCTTCTGTATTCCAGATCCTGTGAGGAGAGTTTAGTTTGTAATTAGCTGATATGCAGAAACTAGGTTGGTTTTTCTTTTATCTCAGGCTTATCTTTGGAAGGAATTTAGCTGTCATTCTGTGATTTCTCTACAGAGAAACTTTCACTTGTAGTACATGAGTGGATTATGTTGAAATTTCCATCCTGGGTATCCTGAGCTGAATGACTCCTGTATCTGGATATGTTTGATAGCAATTAATTTGAAAGACAACAAATTGCTTTGAAACCCATCTGTGTATTTATTATATTTTCAAACTTTCTGTAGGAAACAGTAGGAAAAACTCAGAGTGAAATCTTTTTCCAGGAATGAGCTCACTGAGTGTCTGCAGGTGTTGGTTTGTGTCTGTTTCAAAAG